GCCCAGACAAGCCAGCAATTCAACAATGAGTGCTTTCTGGAGACTCCAACATGAATCACGTTCAGTGCCATGAGGTCGATCATGCCTCATCCGGCATCACAGGTCTGATGAAAATCAACGTCATCAACGGAGAATCATGATGTACAAAATTAGCTGGGGCTCACATCACTTCAGTCGGAACGCCAGATAATCTGGTGGGCTGCTTCAACAAATAAACAGCCCTAGCAGCAGCTTCGGTGTCTGATAACCTCGTAGTCGGTCTCACAGGCTGCGAAGACATGCAGAAACGGCTCGCGGAAGCTCGGGTCGAAGCCTATTGGAGGCCATGTCGTACGCACACCATTTTCAAAGACTTTGGAGGGTCTGTGGAAAAGAGGCGAAGAAGAAAAAGCAAGGCGAGGGCTCGAAGCAAGAGGTCTCATCCGTATCCGAGGACCATGACGAGAGTGCCACTCGGTCAGCCGACGCAGATGAGCCTGAATACATGAGCCCAACGCTGTTTATGCTGTGATGATATCGGTACCCTGCAGACTTCGACTTCCCTGAAGAACGGCAATCGGGGATCGAAGCCGACAAAACAGGCAGAAAGCGCCGTATGAAGACCGGCATGGGGGTTTACTGCAGCCTGCATGGAGGAGGCCGGCTTCACCCACCGCGAACGGGGGTCTTGCTCTGCGAGTGACGCGCAGAAGTATGGGCCACGGCGATCAGGATCAAGGCACTCTGTGAGAAGAGCTCTTCTGCAAGGGTAAAGAAGCCTCACTCTTCGGGGGTCTAGGTGAGAGCAGGGCTGGCAGCCTAGGCATTCGGAGTGATGTGCTGGCAATACGACTCCTCTTCCCTTTCTGGCGAGCCTTGCGTTCTCGTCCCCTTTGGCATACGGTTTTTTCGGAGTTCTTGTTCACACTGTTTGACCGATCGTCGATCTTCGCTCCTAACGCCCTGTATGTGAGCAGTGCTCTACGGCGTACACACCTGGCTACCTATCGCCAAGATGCGAAACATCGTGGTTGAGGGAGACCGGCAACACTGTGCAGAGCAGTAAAAGCAGACAATGGGGCGTAGTGTAGATGATGATCATGGCACTAGCACAGCCTGACTGTTAGCGGTCAATTCTGGCCGTCCCTCAGCTGAGCGGTATCGTCGTGACCGATATACGGGCCATACCGTGGTCGCCATGGCTACATACAGCGGGCCAGTCATCCACACAGGCGTTTCGCGAAACAGAAATAGCACGTTGGCTAAGTGTAGGAGTCTCGGGCCCAGTCAAGAAGCTAGAATAAAGGGATTTTGGAACCAGTCACATGCCTGGTCGCCCAGTTGGTCTGTCGTAGTTGCATTCATCGTCTTCAGAAGGTGCTTGCTCACGACCTGTCTCGCAGTCACGACATCATTCACTTTGCTTCGGGTAGGTTGATCTACTTTGTGAACTAGGGAAAAGGCATGACAAGGCCAGGCGGTGGATGTCTCTGAACCTATTGCCTATGCTATCATGAAGCCAATAGATGTGCAAATTGAGAGAGAGGAGCAGACCCAGCTTCGTGGATCGTGTGGAAACCTGTGGAATGCATCTGTCATCGACCAACCGTTGGACGTGCTCTGCCGCAAGCTGCATATATGTCCAATGACGGGCAGCAAGTTCTTCAATCTTCTATTTGGCGTTGAACCGTGCGCGTGGTGATTGGACAATATTGGCGGTTGTATTCGCACAATTGGCGACTGTGACATGTCGATCTCCCGCAGGACGTTACCGCTTGCGCTCTTCCGTACTCTAGCTGGCATATTTTAGGCCACTTGCAGGGGCCAGTGCCATGAGCCTGACAGTGGAAGCCGTGCGTTCGACTCGATTGACAAGAGGAACCACGAAAAGAAAGCGTCGGCAAGAGACCCGTGTCTGAGTATTGGGTCATGTTTCTGGTACAGCCGCATGGGAGGGCGCTACACGGAGTGATTGGTTAGCGCATCGGGCCCCAAAGAGCGGCCGCTCCACGACGCCGCATGCCGTCACAGTTAGCGACAACGACATTAGAATCTCTACTATATCAAGACTTTTAATTCATAATAAGAGCGTATCGGAAGGATCGGAAGTCTGTCACAAAGGTCGAAAGGACCATGGCAGCTTTCGTGGGTGGATTGGAGCCGGATCTGGATTGTGGGCTTTTCTCCAAACGCCGTATTCTGTGAAGCGCGCATGCTGTTGTGCCACCCTCCTGAGTGGCGGCCATAGAGAACCATCCTCCCGTCGTTGGATGTTGACACTGTCTTCTTCACGGCTATTCTTTAGTGGCATTGTCCCTTTCCCCCGTCGTGCAAGAGAACACCTACTGCAGGCCCGGGCATACCTGGCTGGCGGAGGCACGTCCGCTGCGCGGGTTGTTGGCTGTTCGGCATGGGAGCCTGAAATCGCAATCATTATTAAGGTATGCCACATCATATCCGCACGCGCCGCTGCAAGGGAAGCTAAAAGAAGCTAGATGCCTCACTGAAAGTCACCTCCAGCAATCAGGCCATGACAGAAATGCCAGCAAGGCCCAACAGCCCACCCCGGTCACAAGTGTCGCGTTGCCTGGCAAGTACACCGAAACGAAACAAGTCGGGGCTGGAAGCCAGGAAGACCATGGTGTGCGATCTCAAACAGTGCATAATGATGACGACGTTGCCGCTTTCCACGTAGCGGCCCAAGAAGTGGCTGCGGGAAATGGGTTCATCAACTCAGGCTTGGATGCGTACTGGCGACAAGGCCCTCGTAAAAAGGTTACATCACAACTCGTGCCAAGGTAGAAAGGAGCGCGGTTCGAGCGTGATACTTCACGTGTGGACTGGTAGCCTGAGTCATGCTGAGGTCGGTCAGATGTGATGGCTTTGCCGCCTCGTCTCGGGACTTGCCAACTCAATCGCAAGATTCAGGGGAAGGGGGGAACTCCCTCGATGATCCAGACAGTAGTCTTGTCATAATAGGTGATTGTCCAGGCGCTGAGTGGGAGATGAGCTAGATGAAGCGGGGTGGCAGACCAACAACCCTGGCTAAGACTTGGCAGGGCATGGGGTCTTTCAGGGCATGGGGTCTTGTAATGACAAGACGCTGACCGGGATTCCAGCCGCCGAAGCTTCGGCCCGCAAGTTCGCTTGGAGTCGAGAAGGGGGACGGACCGAGTGTGTGCCGTGGACGCTAAGATCTCGAGACGACGCTGTCTGTGTCCCTGTTCCTTGCCTGCGTCGAGCTGGCCAGCCCTGGCTGCTGCGTCCACCAGCGGGCCTGATTGGGGGCTTGGGGGCAAGATGGACTGGGAAGGCTTCGGCGACAGCTATGGCCGGAGACGCGACCAGAAGCGCGGCTTCAGTGAAATAGACTGCAGCGGGCGGACGGGCGGCTGCTGTGACCACTGCTGTTTCGTGTTCCATCTCAAAAGCGGCGTGCGCCGTACGAGATGCACGATGGGCAAAAGTTGGCCATGAAGTGTAGATCATAGAACTGTGGGGGCCGCTTAACCGAACATCAAGAAAGATGCCGAGACACAGTGCCCGTTGGGCGTCGTTTCGCCTACAAACCGCGCTGGCCTTCCCATCTTCCGCACGGTATGCCCCGCCCCGCCCCGCTCCTCGTTGGCGCACGTCATGGCGCCTGCCGTGACATGACGAGGCCAGCTGACCAGCATCGTTCATTTCTCGTTTGGCATCTGTAGCCTTGGGTCCAGGGTCCTCCAGCAACCTCTTTCCCGTCATCGCAACGCTAACGAACTGGCCGACCATCATCCTGAACACTCTTTCCCCACCACTGGCATCCAGTCGCCTAGATTCAGTTGGATGACCTGGACCAGCTGGAAGAGCGGCTACAGCGCCTCGACGGAGGATCTGCTTTGTGACAACGGAGGCACGGTTCGTCGTCAGCGTACGTGCCGTGTTGCGCCTGTCGACTTCGCAATCTGCGCTGCCATTCGTCTTGCGTCACAGTACTCGGCAATATCGCGCAACACGTCCCCGCCCGTCAGTCACATCTTCTTTCTGGATTCTCGCCCCGGTAGACAAGAATATTTGGCGACGCTGGGAGGCGTGACTTTGCATAGTCGATCGTACAATCGCTTCGAGCGGCTCTCAACATATCCGACCCAATCTCCCTCCGCGAAGGTACAGGGCAATGTCATCCGAACAGTCCCACCCTCACCTCGTGAGCCCCTCTGGGACCCTTGTCGGTGTCCCTGCTGTCACCCCCTCGCCGGCTGAGGCAGAAGGTGTTCAGCACTGCGACCACGGTCATGATGGCGGCCGACCCTCGTTGGACCCAGTGATCGGCTCAAAGGCCATTGATACCCGACCGCATCCTCTGCCGTACACAGAGAAAGCAGCACATCTCACCGACTGTTGGATCTCTTCGTTTGATTCTTATAGGGCAGAAGACCGTGACACGGAGCAAGTCCCCGCGAGTGCGAAGGCATCGCTGACGATCATGCCCAACGAAGTCTTACTCGACATCCTAGGCTTCCTTGACGTGAACGACTTGTTGTCCATCTCCAGGGTACGCATTTGACCCCGCAGTGCGCCTGAGACAGTTCCAGCTCCCGCCCCCCCGTTGTCTCCTCGTCACCTCTGTCCGCCTTTCTCTCGCTATTTCCTCTTCCCACGCTCACTTACACGCAACCGACCACGGCCGCGCTGTGTGCCAGCGGCCCATGTCCCCTCCTGGTCTTGTTTTGGTAGCATCTCCTACTCAACTGACATATCGGGCTCAGATCAATCACCACCTCCGAACTCTGTCAATGGCACCAATACTTCACGCGTACCGCCTCCGTCTCAATCGCGCTATTCTCCCACCACTGTTAGCCACCAGGCCTCCACTTGCAGACCTGATCGCACGTTCCATATTTCTCACTAACACTACAGTCGTCTCGCGCCGCCTGGGCCGCTCTCTTGTCTCCATTCGACTTGCCCGTCGCTTAGCCACAAGGCCGCCTGCCGAAGTTCTAGTCGAGCGCGCCGTCCTGCCGTACGAGTGTGTCCCTGGGCTAGCCGTCGTGCATGTTGCGCCAGGTCTGGTCGCCAAACGAAGAGCAATCGAGAAGGAACAGGTAAAGGACGGACTCAGAAGGTGGGTCGATGCCGTTTGGAAGCGTCAGGTGCTGCAGCGCGAAGAAGGCATGCGACAGTGGGAGCAGAGCCGTGGCATCGGGCGAGTCTGGCGATTGAGGAAATTCTGGGAGAGGGTCGGCAGTGGTGAGCGTCTACCTGTCTGATGTGAGGTCCCTCAGTGGGCCATGAGAGGAACCCTTGGTAGGATGCGATGGACGCTGGCACGTCCATTGTGATGTCTGTTCGAACTTGGCCGAACCATGTTTCATTCCCGCCCCCCTTGCGCAGGTTTGTCTGTTGTAATTTGTAAGGGCTTATTTCAAATCAGTCGTTTTGTCCCATGTAGTATCAGCCGCTTCCACCCGCGCGGTACATTTGCTTGACGGATACACATGATCACGTGAGTCACTGGCCAGGCCAGCCGCACCGTGAACGAGTATACATCATGACCCCACATGAGCTCCAGTTGTGCCAATCGCGCCAATCGAGTGTTGCCATGGGTGGCGGGGCTACAATCTCATGTGCTTCCCAAGCGGGTTGGGTCGAGGAATGCGACAACGCTCGATCGTCTCTCCAGCTTCACAACCACAAGCCATTGGGACCTTTGCCTTGCCGCTGACAGTGTCTTTATCAATCTTTCCACAGCCGATAGAACTGTCAATATTGCAGCTGCCATGGACGATCAGTTTGGCGGTCGCACCGACGACGATTTGTTCTCCGACGACTTCGAGCCCCTCACCAATGCTGTCACCGAGGTCCCTCCGCCGCCCGCGCCTGTAATCGCACCAGCGCAAGGTGCGCCTCCGACTAAGGCTGTCGAGATCCCTGCTGGAAAGCCCCATAGATCACCGGCGCCTGCACCCGTCAAGGCGAAACCTGTGGTCAAAGGTTTGGCCCACTCAAAGTACAGCGACAAGCCTGCCCCGCGCCCTCCACGCCAGCCTGCCGCCAACAGCCCCTCGAACGCCGGCAAACCGAGCACACACCAGAAGCCGGCTGTCAACTCGCCGGCAGCCAGCCAGCCGGCGGCAAGCCAAGAAGCTCCAAACCGGGAGGCCTCCAGTCCGAGCCCCGCGGCCCAGCCAGGCAGCGCGAGCAATGACACGGCACCGCCTCCGTCCGCTCCCACTGGCCCCAGCGCAGGAACAAACGCGCCGCGTGCGGGCAAAAAGCCATCGGGAGCAGCACTACCAGGCCAGAACACGGCGCTCAAGTCGGAATCGCGCATCAAGTCGGGGGCTAACCCGCGGACAAAACTCACCGAGGGCGAGCTGACCGAGAGACTGGAGAAGATGGCAATCCTGAGCGCCGAGAAGGCGCGCAAACATGAACTGTCCGAGGCCGACGAGCGAACCCACGCCGCTGCTTATGCCCACGGTATGGAGGAGGCAAAGAAAAAGAAGGCTGCCGAGGCTGAGCGCAGGAAACGTGGGGAGGAGGAGCGGCGGCGGATGGATGCTGAACGAGCCAAGAACCGTGAGCGAAAGCTCAAGGCCATGGAAAACAAGACGGGCGGCTGGGACCAAGGCAAGATCGAAGAACAGGAGCAGGAAAGGGAGTTTCGAGGCGCGCATGGTGGGATCCGTGGCGCAAGGGGGGCGGATTCTCTGGCGGGGAGCCGCTATGCCAGGAACAATGTCGATCAAGGAGGGGGCGACCTTGCTGGCGATGAAAATTACCGGGGCCGCGGACGAGGGAGAGGACGTGGTGGTTCAAATCGCGGGCGGGGTGGTCGAGGCGGCAACCTGAACGGACGTGATGAAGCCGGCGCGTCAGCGAGCACTCCCTCGCAGGCGACGAACAAGCCCATCGTGAACACGGCGGACTTCCCGGCGCTTCCATCTGTGGATTCTAAGTTCTCGCCCGATTCCCCGACGGGCCCTCTTAATTGGGGGGAAGAGATGGAATCTCTGGATGCTAAGCTGGCAGGCAAGGACCAGTAGAGCTTGGCTTGGGACCGAAATACTACCGCTATCGTTGTCAAGATTTCTGCGCCCTGATTTAAAATGCCATCTATCCAAGATTGTTGCCTTCAGATACCTCGGCATCATTGTCAACACAGGAGTTCAATCTCGAACAAGTTTGCAGCATCAGCTCTCTCTAGTGAGCCATCTGTCAAGGACGGCTTAAGAAGTCTCCCTGAATCGGGCAACTGATGCTCCAGGCTTTCCACTAGCTTCTTAGCGGATATTCTGCCTGCACGATTTATAATATGTGTCGTTCTCAAGCCGCAAAAGAGCGAAGTAGTCAATTTCAGAGACGTGCGCTTTCTGTGAACTGTGCTGGTGATCGTACACGGCCTCACAAGCACAACAATACGATTGGCCTGGCAGGCAACGAAGTCCAAGGAACGAGGCGATGTGAAGCTTTTCAATCTAAGTGGATTGGAAATTTCCAGGACTCTACAATGGATTAGGCTACTGGCCATCATGATATTGTACGAGCCTTGCATACGCGGGACAAGACAGCGCAACTCTTATACTGGCGCCGGGCTAAAGTCATCGGCAAACAACAATATCTTACATACCACAATGGCAAGCCTAGCGTTAAGACACATGCAATGTACAATGTACTGATGAAGTACTTGTAGTGTCGCCGACAGAGAGCCGCCTATTAAACAAGGAGTCGCTCAAGTCTTGAGATCTCTCGACCAACCATACGCTGCCTCCTGGCAAACGACCGGCTCAGGAAACACGATAGTATGTGTCCTTCAGTATTTGTAGGTGCGTTTCGCCAGATGATTTCTCGGGCTCAACAATGGCATGCGAACCTTTCCACCTGAGTCGATGGCATCGCTACCTGGCTTCACTAACAGTCCATGATGCTGTCCATTGGGCCTCGGTAAGGGCAAGGAAGTGGCGTAACTTGCCCGGCTTCGATAGTCTTCACAGATGCCGCCGCTAGAGGTAATATCTAGTTCACGGTTCGAGCTGTGAGTGCTCAGAGCATGTGCAATTTACGCTTCACTAGAGCAGTCAGTGGTGAGTCGCGCGCTGAAAGTGAATTGGTATCATTGGGTGTTCTAACCTCTCATCGCGACGTACGATGACGCCCGCTTCCTCCACGACTGACCAGAAGACAGCCCCCTCCGGAAAGGCCAACCGAACATGCAGGCATCATCTCAGGCCACTCTTCAGCCTATTGAGACGTTTCCCTGTTGCCGTGCGGTATCCTCCGATATGTCGTTGTCGTAGTGGTCTTTTGCGCCCACTCCGCGTTGTATCGACGACGGAAAGGCTTCGATGGGACTCCAACTTTGTCACCTCGGAGTCGCATTACCAGCCGCCGCGATATCCGCCCCTTCCTCGTCCGCGATAGCCGCCGCCGCCTCCCCGTGAGCCCCTCGGGCCGCCAGAGCCCATGCCGTCGTCTTCCATTGGGGGCGCACGCATACGGCCACGCATCTCTTTAGGAAATGCATCGAATGTTTTCCTCATTTGCGCATATCCCAAGTGCATCTTGCCGTAAAAGTGATCTGCCAGGCGACGGTCGTTGTCGAGACGGCTCAGATAGGCGCCGCAAACGTCGCAGACCTGCAATTTTTGATGACCTGAAGGTCCAGAGGTGTCGGAGAGTTCTTTGAGCTCGCGCTCGCGGTCCAGCTTTGTCTGTTGTGCTTGACGGACACGATAGTATTCATCCACGGCGCGGGAGACTTCGCCCATCTCGCCCAAGATTTCGACTTCCAAGAGGCCGTTGTTGATGCTGGAGCTAAGCTCCGAAATACCCTTGAGCTGAGAAAAGCGTACTGTTAGCTTATTGAGGCGGTAAAAATGGGCACAGGGTAATCATACCAGCACGTTTGTTTGCCTGATCTCGTCGGGCGTCTTTTCCAACCTCCTCTGAGCCGCATCTATCCTACGGTTGCAGTCGTCGATATACTTTTGTAGATCGCGCATGTAATCGTAGTCGAAGCCATATCTTTGTTTCTCCTTTTCGGTCAAGGCGTCGTACTCGGCCTTCAGGGCCTCCGAATGCACCCGCGGACAAGCGCCTAGGTCTTGCTTCGTGTTTGTGAAGAGATCGTGCGGACAAGTTCCGGCGATGAAGGAGCGGCAGACCTTGGGGTCCGTCATGGAAAGCTGGGCGGCGCGAGTCGCCGCTGAGCCGCCCATGAGCTGCTCGAGCAGCTTCCGTTGTTCGGCGGCCATGCTGCTTAATCGTGTACAGGCGCAAAATGTTATCTCTGGATCGATAAAGTGGCGGGGATCTGTCGGCGGCGCTCACGGGTGTATCGATTGATGTCGGCGCTTCTCTGGGATGACCAGGGATGCGGGAGCTTCTGCTGTGAGGATCTGCGGTTTCGCAGAAAAGGATTATCTAATCGCGTTCTGCCGTGTCCTACCGCTTCGTACCTAGCCTACTCGCCCCCCCTGGTGGGCTGGCAGGGGTCCCGCCTTAACCCAGCGCGCGACTGGACACGATGCTCGACGTCAGGGAGCTGCGGTTCGACAATCCCACCACGATCAACCAACTTTCGCTGGGGATCTAACACGATGCGTCCGCTTCCGGTGCTACTTCTGTCTGCCTTTTCTTACTGCGTCTCTGCAGCAGATTACCATGAGCAACTGAATCTTCGACCGCTGCCGCTTTCCGCCCTGCTGGCCAGCTTCAATTTTCGTTCAAACTCGACACTCCACGACTTTGAGTCCCAAAACTTTGGCTACTTTCCCCGGTCGCTCGGGCAAATTCTCCAACATGCTGGCACGAAAGAGCTGCACTTGAGATTCAGCTTGGGACGATGGGACGCCGAGAGTTGGGGCGCTCGACCATGGGAGGGCCAGCGAGAAGGTGGCACAGGTGTTGAGCTATGGGCCTGGCTGGACGCACGTTCAGACGAAGAGTACGAGTATCTGCCCAAGACTCGACTTATCACAATAGCTAACCACGACACCACAGGGCCGACGAGAAGTGGCTGATTCTTACGAACGCACTGTCTGGGCTGTTTTGCGCCTCCCTGAACTTTGTCGATGTCACACGAACTACCCGGCCTGTCATGTCTTTCCGACCAGAGGGCCACCACTCGAACGCCTCCATCCCGAATCTTCGTCTGCTACACGGTGTGCTTCCAAAGGAAGTCGTGTGCACCGAGAATCTGACACCGTTTCTGAAGCTGCTGCCATGCAAAGGTAAGGCTGGTGTGTCGAGCCTGCTTGACGGCCACAAGCTGTTTGACTCTAGCTTTCAGAGCATGTCCATTGATGTTCGCCCATTGTGCCCTGAGAATGGCGAATGCGTGCTGGAAATTGAGCAAACCATCGATATGGTCCTTGACGTCGAGCGCTCCAAGCGTCCGCAGGGAAATCCTATTCCCCGCCCTCCTCCGAGCCAAGATTTAAAGTGCGACTCTTCCAAACCCTACCATGCCGATAACACCTGCTTTCCCGTTAGCCATGCCTCGGGCCAAGAATGGCATCTTTCACATATTTTTGGACGGCCCATTACCGGCACGTGTCCGTTGGCCGATCCAGAAAGTGCCCCGGTCTGCTTAGAGGTCCCTGAGTCCAGAAGCGTCTACACCTCTGGCGGGGTTTACGAGACAAAAAACCCGAATGGCGTCTCCCGTTGTTTTACGTTCGATGTCAACGGCGACTTCGACATCATACTGCCAGCACTGGATGCCGAAGCGACCGCCGTAGCACCAGCCGAGCTGGTCGACGCGCCCACCCCTCTAATATACGCCGAAAGGTCCTTGATGGGACACGGACAAGAGCGTGGCGGTGTTCAGGCTATCCTGACGAATCCAAGCCCTGACACAGAAGTAGAATTTATCTACATGGAGTCGCTACCTTGGTTTATGAGAGTGTATCTTCACACGCTCGAAACTCGCATCAATGGAAACATCAACCAGCAAGCGTCCATTGTTGAGCAAGTTTTCTACCGCCCAGCCATCGATCGCGCAAGGGGCACTCAGCTGGAGTTGCGCATGCGAATTCCACCTGATTCGACAGTGTTCTTGACGTACGAATTCGAAAAGACCATTCTTCGCTATACCGAGTACCCGCCAGATGCGAATCGCGGTTTCGATGTTGCCGCAGCTGTCATCACGACTATCAGCCCTCGCGTCCAAAGCGTGCGAACCACCACGTTGCTGCTCAACTTGCCAGTACCGGACTTTAGCATGCCTTACAATGTTATCATCTTCACATCGACTGCCATTGCGCTCGCCTTTGGTGGCCTGTACAACATTCTGGTCCGACGGCTCGTTGCCGCCGATGAGGCCCCGAGCCCGCTTGCTCGGGCCAAGTTGGGAAAGCTTCTTGCAAGGTTCAGGTCCAGGAAGTGAGTGCGTGTTGACATAAATGTAAAATGATGTTCATCTCTGAGCCCCGTTTGGTGACCTTCACTTGAGTGCCGCTGCCTGAGCGATCGATCTGAACCAGCAGACTTGCTTCACTACAGTAGACGTATTGACCCTGGTAGGCGCGGCTTCTCACACCCGTCGCAGCCCGCTGGTCGAAAGATCTCAAGCATCGACGCCAATTGCACTCAGACTTCGCCTTTGAACACCGCACTGCTTACGACTGCTCGTGAATCAGCGCAGTCAATCCCATGTCGTAAAGCATATTGGGTTCACCACGCCTATCACCTACGGTCCAGTACATACATACCGTCATCCAAAGTCAGGCCACCTGCATGCCGGAAAAGCCCAGGGAGCCAATGATTCTTCCGCAAACTTGATCCCATCCCCGTCTCAAACACAACCTTCGGTCGACCGCGTTCGGACTACAGATTTGGCTGTCGAGCAACAATCAGCAGAAAACTTGTGAAACCACAAGAAGACGTCCTGTTTCCTTCCTGATTGCCTCCGCCCTATGTAGGCCCAGTTGTTCACTGGACACAAGCGTACGATGGTTGTCTTGGGTGCAACCCGATGAGCTTGCCCGTTCCCATGTACCACACGGATTCAACCCTGTCCCAACAATGGTGTCCACGGCGGTTACCCGGACAGCTTACAACTCACTGAATTCGGCGTTGCATGGCTTGTCTGACGGTGCAGACCGCCGTTCAGGTGCTGCTGGCACAGGCGTAGGCTCAGGCTCAAATAGCGTAATATTAATATTGATGTGGCCCGTCGTTTTTGGCACTTCTGTTCAAGCTCCCAGAGGCAGAAGAATGAGGTAACGAATCATGCAACCCGTTCATTTACTACTTGGACTCGTGTTGAGCTCGACGGCGGGTCTTGGGCGACAGACAGATGGCGGATTGGGGACGAGACCTGGCTCATTCGAGACCAATCGATACATCGTCGAGTTTGCCAAGGTGTCTTAATCCTATTGCGATTGCTACACCTTATGCATCAGCTAACATCAATCTCAGGAGTCCGACTTTGATTACGTGAAATCGAGTATCGAGTCTCGAATTGGAAACAAAATCGTCAAGTCGTTCAAAGGAAACATCTTCAAGGGCATCAGTATCGAGACATCAGTCGAGAACGCAGAATCCCTGCACGTGATAAAAAATGTGGCCAATGTCTGGCGATCCAAGACGGTCCAGCTCGATCCTGCTATAGACAAACAGGACCAACCCGACGATGCAGGCGCAAGCAACTATTCAATCCACCACATGACTGGTGTAGATAGACTCCACGCTGAAGGCATCCGCGGACAAGGCGTTACTGTTGCAATCATCGACACGGGAGTTCAGTACACACACCCTGCGGTAGGCAATCCCCTGAATTGATTGGGCAGCCTTAATGATAACGCGATGAACAGTTGGGTGGTGGGCTGGGCCGCAAGTACAAAGTGATAGGAGGCTACGACTTTGTGGGCGACAGATGTTTGTATATTCTCTCGATTTGAGGCCACTGAGGCTGATTAAGCTTCAAGGGTATCCACGCGGACCCTTTGAGAAGGAACCAGATGATGACCCGTTTGATATCGACGGACACGGCACGCATGTCGCGGGGATTATCGCCGGCTTGACCGAAAAGTACACCCGGCCTGTTCTAAGAACTCTCCTCGCAGCTAACTCTTCTTGAGCTGGGCAGGAGTCGCACCAGACGCTACGTTGAAGAGCTACAAAGTCTTTGGGGGCAGTGTAAGCGGTCTCAACCTCTCTCGCCGGCTTCATCCAATAACGATGTCAGGGAGGGACAGACGAGGAAACTCTGATAGACGCATTCATCAGGGCCCATGAGGATGGAGTAGGCACTGGCCCCTAGAGTTCTTCCTTCTAGAAACATGGCTGACGCCAATCGAGGCCGACATCATCACAGCAAGTATTGGCGGCCCCGGCGGATGGTCGAGCAGTGCCTGGTCCACGGTTGCGTCTCGCATCGTTGATGCTGGCACCATAGTGACCATCTCTGCCGGCAACAGCGGTGAGCTCGGCCCATTTTTTGGAAGCAGTGGCTCATCTGGAAAGTTTGTGCTCGCCGTGGCGTCGGTCGAAGCAGATACTTATCCTGCGATACCGTTTGAGGCCACTTATATCCATCCCGGCTCCAATGATTCGAACACAACGACATTTGCCTACCTGCCAGACTACGAGCCTTTTCCTCCAACGGTTCGAGACCTCCCTATGTTTGCGCTATCACTCAACGCAAGTGACGTTCTAGTAGGCTGCGAGTCTTTGCCGGCCAATACGCGGAACCTCAGTAATTACGTCGTACTTCTGCCTCTTCTGCCTCTGAGTGTGAACACGAACTGCAGTTCATATGCAAAACAGCGCAATGTCGCTCACTTTGGTGCTCGATATATCCTTTTTTTCAGTCCACAGGGCGCATCGCTACAACAGCCAGGGACCGGGAGCGACCTCATTGGCGTCGGTGTTCTCGATTATGAAACGGCAGAATTCTTCCTCAAGGCGCATAGAACTGGAAATCGGGTGTTGCTCAACTTCTCTGCCGAGTCGAAAGCCAACTATGTCGGCATCAGCAATGCTGGCGGAGGGGTTGCGAGCTACTTTACGTCACAAGCTGCGCTATACAACCTCGAGATCAAGCCCGATGTTGCGGCCCCTGGAGGCAACATCTTCAGCTCGTACCTTGACAATACATACACAGTGCTCAGCGGTACATCAATGGCGTGTCCATATGTGGCTGGAGTTGCGGCCTTGTACATCAGTCAACATGGAGGTAAAGGCATCCACGGTGTCCGCTTCGCCAAGGATCTCGCCATGCGAATCATGTCAAGCGGCCGCGCAGTGCGGTGGCACGATGGCCAGTCAGACAAAGATTATGGATTCTGGGCGCCTGTAACCCAAGTTGGCACTGGCATCGTCGACGCCTACAAGGTTGTCCACTATGAAACGTCCCTGGGATGGTCAAAATTTGCACTCAATGACACGCAGAACCACAGACAACATCAACAGGTCGCCATCAAGAATAACGGGACTAGCCGTGTTCGATACAGGTTCGAGGTGCAAGACTCTGGCGGCCACGACGTCCTGGACAGCAGCGATCCTCCCTTGGTGCAGTTGGGCCCGATTCCGCACGGCGAGACATCCTTCCTCCCCTTTAAAATGACGCCTGATGTGCTGTTACCGTCGGATGAGTTCTGGGTCAATCCTGGGTCAACCAAAAATGCAGAGTACGCAATGCAGCCGGTTACAAAGGCCTCATGCTGACAAGCGTCCAGATTCATCTTTGACTATCCCGCCGGGTTCGATGATGATAAGTTGCCTGTGTACAGCGGCAAGATCCTCATATACGGCACGAATGCTGAAGAACTTTCCGTACCTTTTATGGGCGTGGCGGGGAGCATACGGACTACCTTTGCCAGTGTCTTTTACCCCAACTATCCCCGGTCCTCTTCAACTGCGAACGATATTCCCATTGAGGAGAAGCCCACGTGAGTCTGTTTGCGCGTGTGGAGACCAGAGACTGACCCGAATCATGCTAGCTACACATTTGACCTTTCGTTGGAAGCTCAAGACTTCCCAAAGATCGTTTGCGGCTTCCGCTGGGGTGTACGTCACCTACGGTGGGATATCTTTGAAGCAGGCTGGGAAGACAGCCGGTGGTACTATCCGCCGGAAGCGGGCAAGAACGGATATGTTGGTGCAGCAACTTCATGGGCCGGTGCGGACTACGCCTACGTCTTCAACACAAGCAAGGACGATGAGATGGATCTGGTAGCGTTTCCAGTCTTTGATCTGGCTCGGGACATTCCATATGAGTATTGGTGGCTGGGCCGTCTGGCTAACGGCCAATTGATCGAACCAGGAAACTACACGTGAGTAGGTGAGCTTTGATGTGGCCATGGGAGAGAGAAACTGATGTATAGCAGATTTCGCTTCGCGGCCCTGACGCCGTTCGGATCACCGGAAAATGCCCATGACTGGGATGTCTTTGATGTACCCGAAATTCAAGTCATCAATCAGGCCAGCCAAGGTGCAGTCTGAAATCAAGGAGAGGGCGTGGGGTGCCGATACAATGCCTGTATTCTCGCGGTTTGATACCGCAACATTCCACGCGGTCTGCCCCGGTCAATGGTCTCGTATGATTGACAAGTTCAATGACTTGAAAGGGTTTGTCCGTCTCGGCCTTGAGCCGGCAGACTGAGATGTTGGTAGTGACACTTCGTCTCATCAGATTCCCAGTCCCTTGGCTCCTTTGGTCCATCTGTACAGTGAGAGTACTCTCCTCCGCGCCAGCTTGTGCTCCTCCCAACCTTTGGGACTGGAGCCTCGTACACTGTACAGCGTGGATCGTACGACTCGTCGAAAATTCCGCTGTACAATTCAATTAGATGTGTCAAGTGATGTGGTAAAAACAACTGACGCACCTGAAACTCTGTGCTCAAGGTCACAACGCAGACCTCGTGGGCTCTGATGATGGTCTCGCACGCCTGCTCGACGCTCTGATTGGGTCCGAGCTGAGGCATCCGGTCGGCAAATAGCAACAGGATGAAGCTACCGTGCAGTAGATATATACCGAAGAGGTACGGCATAAAAGTCAGTTCTGGATCAAACTTGAGAATATCGGACACGGCCTCGGAAGCAGCAATGGCGTGCGACGCGCACTCGGCAAAGCGCGACGTAGTGATCCAGTCATCCTCATTGTCCAGCATGCTGATGGCGTCCCACTTGCCGTGCAACAAGACGTGCATGACATGGAGAATATGCGTACTGTAAGCGACCACAAGACGCACATCAGATCGATCATCGTGGGTATCGTGACTCCGACTCGGTGGTGGTGGTGCTTGATGACTGTTGTCTGGCAGGCCGGTCACCAGATTGCTGATGAGCATCGGTGTGTCAGGATTTCCGTATGCTGAGTGTCGCACATCAGCCTCGTGCGCAAGCCTGGCAAGACTCTCCTCGCACTCGCTTATCATGTTGCCAATGACAGAGACGGCGATGCTGTTGTCCAGGCTCCCAAGGCGAGGATGGTGCTTGCCATGGTGAACTTCGATGATGTCGCCGAGGATGACCATCAGCGGGAGGAAGTATTCAAAGAAACTGGAACCAGATATCGTGCTCAGGGGGCCTATCGTCCTGGCTGGCGGTCCGAGAAGGAGCACTTCATCTAGCGTCTCCCAAACGCTCTCCGCCAATGGGGCTAATGCTCTGTTAGGAGCCGACAGCTGGCCTCAACCCGGGGTAGACGTACCATAAACTTCACAACTCGAATCCGGAATTTGGAGGACTCGATTGAACGACAGCGCAAGATGTCGGTCGAGCGAATAAAGCAACCAGAAGACTCGTCTCTTCTCTTCCTCAGCCTCAAGTGTAGCCAGGAGCAGCTGACCCTTGTGCTTTCGTGGGGGAGAGGACAGTCCGGACAGTGATGAGTCCTCATCCAGTCGGTTCAAACGGAGTGACAGCGCAAGCCTGGCTGCTTTGCTCCACCATTTGAGACAGTCCGACTTGAAGTCGCCTCCGGACACCCCAATGCAGAGGAGGATGAATGTGAGCACATCATCAATGGCACCGGCCGGCTCATTGCTCTCCGTGGTGCTTGGGAGATTGGAGTTGTAGGGGTACTGCTCGGATACCTGTTCATTCTCTATGCGCAGTCCCCCTATGCATGGTAAGTACGACATGTCAACACCTGCCGGTGCGGCTGCTTACCGTGTATTCTTCGCCATCTGTCGGGGTCTCGGTCAGTAATGAGAAATGTGGCGAGCTCGTAGAGTGCGTTTGTGACTCGTGATCTCGATCCCGGAACAAGAAGCAGAGATATGTCGGCAGTCTGGGCGCAGCACCAAAGAATTGTGGCCAGAAGCGCCGGCGACATGGGTCGCGGATTAGTTGGATGAAGCAGCGATTTCTTCCGGAATATTCGCGTCAAGATGTATGGCGAGGCGCAGCGAAATAACGAGCTTCCGGGATCCACGAGATAGACATCAAAGAGGTCACAAGCCACAGACGCAGGCAAGACATCGCCAAGATAGGGGAGAAGAGGGTCGAGACAGCGGTAGCGACAGTCGGCAGCCGAGACACCATACTGTGAGCCTCTTTGCTGGCCGCCGCCCTGAGAGCCATCCGACGGTATCGGGCTGAAGGGTCCGAATCCGTGCGGCCTGACGATTGTGCTGAATGATGCTCTTGCGCGCTGCTGTTGCGGATGCGGCTTTGTCGAGGCGTGTGGATCGTGCAATGGATTGAGGTTTGCAGGGGACGGGTGACCATCGCTGGGCTCCGACACAACAGCGTCACCCAGCCTCGGATGATTTGTGTGTCTCAGACCAGCCGCGTAGCCTTCGTTGGCATACATGGCGTATGGCGGGGAGATGGCTTGTTGAGGCAAGTAGCCCCCATTGGCCGTGTCCAACCCAACATGAGCGTGTGTCTCTGGAACGGCAAGATTCTGCTGCGACTCGGCCACCTGTTGCCGCTGATCGAAGGCGCCTGACGGAGGCTCCGATTCGGCGGCAGGCGAGCTCGCTGGATGCTGATCCGGGTACGAGGTCTCATTAGCGGACGATTCGCAGTTGGAAAGACTCCTGGGTGCTGTTTCGTTGCGGGGGACGCGACCGCGTTTCTTGATTTGTCGGTCATAGTTACAGGTGTAACCGTAATCTGTGATGGACAGGGGTTAGCCGAAGATGCCTCGGGTTTTACTCTCTTGGCTAGTGCCACAGGCAGAGACTTGCCTTGACAACGTCGACTGCGTGGCCATGTCAGTCAATGTTGAACAATAACCCTCGAATGGATGCTGGGGCAAAAGGCTTGAGAGCCAGCCGTCTTTCACCTACCACGGATACTGGCCGTCGCAGCGGGTCCGAGACGTACTGCACTTGTCGCATGCGACCCGCGTCCTCTTCCTTGGCCTTGCATGCTCCGCGTCCGCCCCATCCTGGCTCCCCCGACCATTCGTCTCGGGCTCGGGAGACGGTTGGCTGCGAAGATCTTCCATCGCCCACCTTGAACAGAGGAGTCGACAGCTGTCGAGTTGTTGGCGTTCTGATACTTCGAGTGCTGTGAAATTTGCCCGGGCCAGAGAGTGGTTCCAGCTGCGACTGAGCTGCGCGACAGCGCGTGCAATCGAGGGAGATGCTGAGAACGGGAGCTGCGAAGTGAAAAAAAAGCCCGACGGGTATTTTATGTTGTGTTCATTCACCACCTGAGCTGACTCTTTCCCCGCGAACCCCGCACCACTAGCGCTTTCCAGGTAGCTCAGGGGCGTCCAGCGCCTGGAGCCCCCACATCGCTCGCCTCCATAAGACAAACCTCTCTCTTGGCCTCCACTGTTTGCAGAATCAATCATTCATCCTCCCACACGCCAAACAGAGCTCCCATGCAATGTCGGCATCGCCGCCACCTTGCCCCACCCCCGATCAGATCCAAGCGCCATCTACTGTGTAGACCGCACCGCTCACAAACGAACTGTCGGGCCCCAGCAGGAAGCAAATGACATTGGCCGTCTCTTCGACGGTCCCAAACCGCCGGAACGCAGTGGGCTCATCAAACGGAGCGTCCTTCGCGCGTCCGCTGTGGTCCCATTCCTTCTGCATCAGTGGCGTGTAGACCGAACCTGGCGCGACGCTGTTGACCCTAATCTCGCGGTCTCCGTTCTCCAGAGCCGCCGCCTTGGTCAGACCAATGACGGCGTGCTTGCTGGCATCGTACGCCGAGTGTTTCGCAAAGCCTATCAAGCTGTCAGTCAGAGTGCGTGGCTTAGTATCTGCCGGATTGCGCCAAACCCTTGAGACCATGGATGGATGATATGTTGACGATGGACCCCTTGTCTGCGATGCTGCGTAATTGCGCGCGCATGCAGTACATGGTGCCCGTGAGGTTCACGGCAATGATTCTATCCCACTCGCCGTCCTCCATGTCGGTCACTGCGGTGGTGCCGTGAACCTTGCCAATGACGCCGGCCACGTTTGCGGCGCCATCTAGACGGCCATGTTCCCGGATGATGGTGTCGATCCAAGAGTCTACCTCGGATCTTCTCGACACATCAACCTTTGACACCATGAACGGCACCTGGAGAGGCGTGAAGTGGGCCTCAGCTGCTTTCATGGCCTCTGGGTCGATGTCGGCGATGCAGACGGCCGCCCCCCTCATCGAAAGAAGCTTGGCTGTCGCAAGTCCAATACCGCTGGCACCGCCCGTGACGGCATAGACCTTGCCGTGAAGGGGCAGATGGTCATAGGTGAGACGTGTCGCCGGCATGGCACAGGATTGACGGTGAGTTGGCAGGGTTGACGTTGAGGATCCTCGAACAGCAGCTCGGCGTGTGCAGTGCAATAATCAACAACCAAGTGCGGGAGGATGTCCAGATGCAAGAGGAATTTCAGAATTGCAACTTGCAATGACTACGACTACACTTAAAAATACTGACAGGTTCTCATCCGGCCCTCCGATCCGAAACCCTGCCGTCGGCTTTTACATGGCTCCTGGAACCCACCCGTCGGGAAATTCTGCACTGAATCGATGAGACGGGCCTTACGAGTAAACTTGCATGGTATGGAGCCGTTTTCGCCCTGAACAGTCTCACTTACGAAATCATATTCTAGTTTTGATCATCTTGAAAAGTCCAAATGTTTGCAATTCCAGACGGAAGCATGACTCTCAACAAGGTGTCGAGAAGGAGTATTTACAAGGGCCCAAACAACAGCATGAAAATATGAACGACTCTTCTCCAGCAGTAAACGTTGGTCGACTCGCTGAAACCTCGTTCATTTTAATACTGCTCATGGTATTGGCCAGCAATAGACGCTCTCATACCCTGGTCTTCATAACCTTTCTTCTGATGGACCAAGCTTGGCTGCGCAGGGCAAAAGAAAACGTCACGCAGTTCGTCTATGCTCAAGATATAGATAAATTCCACTTGATGCGTTGACAGATCGTCAACGAGAGTAATGCACAATCCAAACTCCCGGCTTCGTGAACACGTGCCATCGAAAGGAGTCACCTAGGGCAATCATCGTCTTCACACCAAATAGCAGACAGTTCAATTTGTGAAATGTAGTCTAAACACTATGAAAACCAAGAGCATTCAAAGGACGAGGACGAAGCTCGCCATTATTGGCAACATCTCTGACCTCCCACTGCTCAACAATCCCACTGTCGACAAAAGACGCATCCGGAATCTCCAGTCTCAAATGAAGCCCGTCATGGGTACAACGCAGATTCCCAGAGGCCATAACCCAAACCAGCTTTTTCTCAGTGAAGCGCGAGAGATTCAGTAGCTCGACATGCTCGCCCAAGTCCACTGAGCGGCGAATCTGGCCCGAGAATGCCTTTCGAGCTGACACATCAATCGCGAACAGCCGATCGAGGCTGCTGCACAAGACCTCTGTCATGACTTCATCACGTTGTTGATAGGTCAATCCTTGTTCGGCGGGAGAAAGACGGTGTCGCTTCATTGTGGCCCGTGCTGCTCGCTCGATTTCAGCAAGAACCTCAACGTGGACAATCAAAGTGCCGTCGGCATATGTAGCCGTTCCAGTAGTGTGACCGCCACTGGCGCACATGCGAACGAACCCGAGCACTGTCCAGAGAAAGCCTTCAGGGGCAAACTGGCCAGGGATAGCGTCCTGGATAGCAATGCGGCGAAAGCTTTCTGAAGGTGGCTGGCCAACAAATTCAATGGCCTCGCGACAGGCGTCGGCGTTGGCAATAATGTGCGCAAAGTAGACAAGAGTCTCCTTCACTTCCACCGAGGTGGATTTATAAAAGGCCGCTGATAGGATAAAGGCAGCTTGAAAACAATCGTCCACATCTGGCAGATGCTGTTCAATGATACAGGCTCTACTGAGCAGATTGATGCGAAAAGGTACAAGGCTGAATGACGACCTTTGGAGGCAACCATGAAGCACCAGCCTGTGAGCGTAGTGGGTGATCACCCTCGGTGTCAAGGTCGTGCCGCTCGAGAGGGCCATTAAAGCGCGATCCCACGGATAAGTACTCAGAGAAATGAAGTCGACAAGCTTGTAGACAGTCGTGTAGAGGTCGCGATTGGCAAACCGCTCGTAGAGTGACGACGAGGAGTTCTCGTACTGACGCCGGTCAACCGGCATCCAGCAAGGGACAAAGGGCGTTGAAAGGCTCTTGGACCAGTACATGCTGGCACGATCTATGTCGACTTCGGAAGGGGGCAACGTGAGGGAATCGTCAACAACAGTACCGAGGAAGTCGTTATAGCATGGCCCTCCAGCGCCATGACCGATGATACCGCCGTGTGTGACATTAGCGAGCTTGAGAGCGTGTAGAGCAGGGGCCGATAGCGCGACATTGGGAGCCACGACGAGAACAATGGGACTTTGATGGGAATCCAGTGGTGACTTGGCAATGAAGCTGTTAAAGTCTGTCTTGCTCGAAATTCCTGTTATGAGGAAATCAGCCTCATCTGGGAGAAGCTGGGAAGCATCCATGATCATAGCGATCGGACCAACAATGACCAATGTTCGAGGCGGAGAGTCGTGCTTGAGGAAGCGGCCGATCAACTCGGCGATATCGTTGCGGTCCACTGCTTTCTCGAGAGGCTGCATGGGGTATCCTTCACCACCGAGGCATCGAAAGTCATTCATTCGCATGATGGTGACACCATCAGTAATATTCTTCTGCCATTCGGGCATCTCCACGGTCGAAAGCGTGACGATACGGGCGTACTCAGCAGTCGCTGCCCACTCTACTATGCGGAGCCAGATTGACACGTATAGAGAGCTGCATTCGGGATCGTGATCGAGGATGATCACGGCTCTTCTGGTCTCCGCAAAGTACATGAGCTTATCAAGCGATCGATGGGTAAGGACTCTGAGCTTGGCATCGCTCTCGGTCAATAGGCCGTCCACACAATCGTCAACCTTCTCAGACATGAGAACAGCGTTATGCATGTAAAGGCCTTTCTCTAGAGGCGTCCGAAGGGCGTAGATCACGATAGTGTCGGGTATTTTCTTTTCCGAAAGCGCATCGAGCACGCGTCGGGGTATGTACTGTGTCTTGCCAGTCATAGGACCAGCAACCACATTTGCAAAGGCTGAGGTCTCTGGGCCGTTGTTCAGCCATGCTGAGAGCTCATCTAGCACCGGAGCCCAGCTTGTGTCTGGTATGGGCCTAGGCATGTCGAAAATGATAACAATAGAGCTTAGCGGCTTTTGGTCTTGGTATCGGTACCTAGTGGGCTTTGGTGGCTGGTTTCGGTGTGAAATTGTTCTGGAGTGTATTGCTGATGATAGGAACTCATAGGCAGGCGACAGTGTTGTTGGCAGGCACTGTTGTTGAAGGAGAGTTGGCCTGGCATCAGACCCAACAGCCTGGAAAAGTGTGGAGAGTGGAAACATTGAAAGTACCTAGATAGACTGTCAGATTTGGAAAGCACGAGACCATACCTCAAATTCACTCGGCAGGATCAACGACAGATCGCTCCATAATTGAGAGGACAAAGAAATGTGTTCAAGACAGGAGAATAGGTACATGATGACAGTCTGAACTCAAATAACCTATGAAAACAACGTAATGACTACTCGAAGCCCCTTGCAGCATACTGACTACACCCCTTCACCCTTCTCGTTGCGTCAATTATACACTGTCGATAGCCCTCAGCTTGATGAACAGTTGATCATGCCCCGCGCGAGGCTTCAGGAGTCACCAACTTGATGCCAGCCTTTGCGTCGGCATTTCCCGTTCCATCGGAAATTGAGTCTCTTACCCTGAGCTAATGGGTTCTCTTTCTGTTTCTATAGCGCTTAAAATGAGACTGAGACCGAAGGTGAGGGAGCTGGCTTGTTTGCTGCTGAGGGCGAGGTGTCGGGTTGGGGTTTCTGTTGCGGATACGGCGAGGGAGAGTTGGGACGGTTGACCTGCGATCATCTCGATGCCGAGAATACGACCCGCGCACCTGCTGATCAGACTGTCTGGCAGTCGTGTTTCTAAGCGAGGCATCGTTGAATGAAGTACCAGTACTAGTTCTGCGCCTCGAAGCTCTGTTGGAGACCCATTCGCACATTGCCGCTTGATAAGACGAGTCAACCCCCGACACAGTACGCAAATCGCGAGAGTCATCCTCGCCGGGGTATCGACTTCCTGGGTCGCTGGCTCTAGTGTAGTACAAGACATATTCATGTCCGTACTCACCAATCATCCACTGGTGATCCATATACTCGACCTGACGAATCGCTTCGTCAGCTGCTATTGTGCAGACACGTTGGCCTGAAAAATGGTAGAGTCGCACGAGATGAGGATCGCTGTGTTGAGATGGTAGACGGACGGCGGCCCTAAGATAGTACGGGCAGGCCTTTTCGGGGGTAATGGTTACTGTGAAGTTTTGAAGCTCAGAAAAGCTACGTCTATTGCCGAGAGCTGGTATCAGGTGGACGCGTAGGACGTAGGGCAAATTGTTGAGACCGGCAACTTCCATGTCCTGCTGTGGATTGGAAATATGAAACTTTCGATCGACGATGTCGATGATTCTGACTTCAGGCTCCTCAAATCTGAAGTCTGCAACAATCAAACCGCTGCTGGACGATTGTTGAACATTGTAGGAAAGCAAATTCCAATCCGATTTGTCTGGTCCACTTGTGATGCGACCGATGCCAAAGCGCCAGATGAGGAGGAAGTCGAGAGACCAAACTGTGTGTAGCATCATCTTGGACTCAGCTAGGCAAAGAAAAGCGTCTTGCACTTTGGCGTTATCTTCACTGTCCCGGAGCTTGGATTCGCCACTGATGAGTCGCTCCAGAAAGTCTGGCTTGAGAAGCCCTTCCTTTCCGAGGAGGGCATGGCTGATTAAAGGATTCTGGTCTCCATTGGCAGCGAGATTTTCGATCAAGTGATTTGGTAGTATTGCAATGAGCGACCGCAGAACCATGAAAAGACAGATGATCGGAGAACTGCCTGGCGCCGTCTGTATGGGGCCTCGCTGGATAAGGTCGTCGCGCTCTTGTGATGTGAGCGGCATCGTATCCACACGCCAGACGGTGGTTCCTTGGGTAGGTATCTTATCGAGTTTTCGCCTGTCGAGTCGTTCAAGGTACGAAGGGGTTCGGGTCTTGTCGAGGCTGATGCTGTGGTGCTTGGTTGCCTGGGCGGTTGTCGGGATTCGACCGGCAGTTGCGAGAGCAAGGTCACGTAGACAATTGAGGAAGGTATATTATTTTCGTTGGCCATAACAACTCTGAGTCCAGCTCGTAGAATGATTGGTACACAGTGATTACGAATAAAGATACAACGGGCTTCTGATCAAGTGACTGCCTTCACAGCTGTAAGGAAAGCTCATCACAACACAGAATTGAAAACCCCATCGCTTTAATACTTCTCGTGAGTCCATATTTGATGAAGGAGTCACATCAAAAGCACTTCAGACTCTTTCAGCTGTCGAAATTTGACGCAGTAGCACTCACAAGCGGTTAAACTTCTGGCAATGAGACGTGAAATAAACTCTGAGGGTTAGCCATGGCTCTCTGTCAAGCCTCTAGCTGGGGCTCTTTTCTTTATGATGCTGAAGCCGGCACTGGGCTATCGCGCATAACACTTAGATCGTGAGTACGCAGTTTAGCGAATTAAAACAATACACATTCAAAATAGCATACATGCTGCAACTCTGAATGAACGCATGAATCGTTGAAACGAATCAGAAGAAGTGTACAGCAGGTCTTTGACAAGAATTTCCAAGCTTGTGCTTGACGAGGAGCGAGGCTGAGAATGATCATGAGTACAAGATGTCTGGTCAGTTCAAGCTCTGAGCCTCAGTCGCGGGGCGCGAAAATGTCAGGATCAACAACCTTCTCCCTCTCCCATCCTTTGTACTGTACAGGGTCAAAAAACACTCGATTGCCACAAGTGTTAATTCCACAGTCACTCAACAGCTCAGTGTCCTGGATAAGGACCATGGGGTTTGAGCTCTCATTCGGACCAACCAACAACTTGGGAGAGGTTTGGTCGCCTTGGCCTTGCTCCCGCTGCTGTGACGTCCCTTCGAAGGGCCGGTAGTTATCATTGGAGAATGCCAGTTTGTTATCGGGCATGACCTTTGGAAATGAGGGGATCGGCGCGTCTTCATTGACTGTAGCATCATTGTTGTCAGCTTGAGGTTCATGGTTGTAAATATCAGGGAACAAGTCGATCTTACTAGCGTCGTCGACCGCAGGCTGGATAACGACAGGCACCTGCTGTGGAGCACTCTTGGAGTGAAACTTGGAGAAACCTCCAGAGGAGTGATCGGAGGAACTTTCAGATGGGCTATCCGATGAAATATCGATGGGAGCAGCGACGCCAGGGTTGCGACGGCATTCCCGAAGGATGGAGCGCTTGCGCAGGTCGTGTACTTCGTTCATCGTGTGAGGGTGCGTGCGGCCTCGCGACTCTGTGTGTAGAGCAGCGTGAAGTTTAGGATTGGGGTAGAGTGGTATGCCGTTGCACCTAACTGTCCTGAGAGCCATGAGGAGGATGTGGAGCTCGTGGACCGAAACGTTGTATACAATTGGCTGCGCGGGCGCGTTTCTTCGTCGGTTGACAAGATCTGGCTCAGGTGTCACTGTATTGGCAATGTGAAGGAACACGAGAGCCAATTCACTCTTGTAGGTTCCAGGCGTCGACCGTATGGCCCGTCGAAAAAGGGAAGCAAAAGAGCGAGAACCATCAGACTGACGGGCGGCTGCCGCGAAGCTGTCGTACGTGGAATTATCGACCACCACATCAAATGGCCAAGGACGACGGTCGTTCGTCAGGCACACAACAGTGAAAGCAATGGTTATCTGCAGTATGCGATACTCTCCTCTCCAAAGAGGATGACTGCACAGTTCTCCCAATTCCATGCAGAATCCCTGGCTGGGATTAGGGTTTATGACAGCAAACTTCCCCATGGGGTAGTTGAGCCGGGGGTCGAACTGCAGGGGCATCGAGATGACGTGTTCCGGAGTTTCTCGAAAAGCCGAAAAGGTCGTCTTCCATAACCCGCACAAATGCGCGTTGGTGTACCATTTGGGGTCAAACACAGCTGCATGGAAGATGCCACTCCGAACGAGTCCATTCAGCTCTCGGATATCGGCTGCTGCCAGAGGCGGCAGAAGGGTTTCGATCTCCTCCCGCGACATGGCTTCAACGGTACCCTCGACGAACATGTCGAAGATGATGTCGTCGGTACTACTGTCTTCGTGGGGATCGTCGATGCGAAGCTTCTTCGAGATATGTCGTCGGGGTATCGCCTCAGCAAGGCGCTTTTTCGAGTTTTCGGTTGTTCGAGGCATACTGGGCGTGTTCTGTGGACGCAGTTGGTGGTTGGTTGAGTTGTGTGTTGGTGTTTGGGGCTTCGCTGTTGGACTTGGTAGAATTGAGATCTGCAACTGCACGCTGTTGCCTTGACAAAGTTTGCGCTTCACAAAATGAGACTGGATACAAAAGGAGAATCGCCAATCACTACAATGCCTCGAGAGACCGCTGAGCACCCGCTGTATACTTGTTAGATCACGCTTTCATGGAGTTCCTGAGCACTAGGCCTGTAGGCTCCTATCAAAAAATCACTTGCATTTGCGTAGACACTCCTAGGACCAGCTCTATAGACCTGATCTCGACTACGCGTGTATTTAGGTTAGCTAGCCTTTCCCAGTGATAGGAGTGCAATGATCTGCCTAGATGCTCATAACTGTGTCCGCTGCAGAGTTTTCACTGCTTCCTCTGCGGGCTCCTTCCTGAACGTACTCCTTCTCAACGTACCCTCCTCCCCGACTCTCTTTGCCTTGAAGCCCTAATCAGTTGGCTTGAGAAAATTTACACCCTCTACATCCAGACCTTCCAACTCTACCACTCTTCCATAACAAAGACCACATCAACTACAAGCACACATACAGAGACACTCGACGAATAACCTCAAACCAACGATACAATGGCCGACTATAACAACGACGACCAGCAGAACCGCGACACCTTCTACGACGTCCACCTCGGTGGTGAGAAGGCTGTGATCGACGAAACCATCGACAACGCGATGGAAGAAATCATCACAGACGGCGCTGCTAGGCTTAGCACCTCGGAGCGGCGCCCGAACAAGAAGAAATCCGCCGGCGCTGACGTTCCAGTCGGCGCAAGCGAGAACGCTGTCAGGGACCTTTACATCGAGCGTTTCGAGTCCCTTGACAGCGAGGGAAAGTATCGAGCCATGGTGAGGGAACACCATGATTCGATCTTTGTCGACGTCGGAAGCAACTTTAGCTTGTACACGCCGAAGAAAGCAGCCCCCGGTATGATATCGTCGATGGAAATGGCCATTTGCTGCAAACACCAACCTCGTGACGAAAATGCAACCGCTATCTATGGGCAGGTCCATGGAATCCCGATCCAGTGTGTGAGCGGGTCCAAGGCTCACCAAGCCATGGCCATGGCAATGCAGGCCAAGAGTGACAACAACATCGTCATATCGATACCTATGAAAAAGGGTCAAAGCATCGAAAACAAGCGGGCAGAGATTCTCAAATTCAATCGTGCGGTCGCTGCCATCATTGATGGTGCCTTGGCATCGGCCAATCAATCTGTTGGCCTTCCGGCATCAGGACAACAGGACAGGGACGACCAGCAGCGCCCATACGTTCCACCCCACGAGCACATCATGGATAATCACGAGACGGTTCGAGTCCGCCAAGTGCAGAAGAAGACAGAGCAACGTGTGGTTAACGAAGACACACACAACGATGACCGTGCTACTACTGGCCGTAACGACGGAGAGAAAAAGCCAGCCAAGCCAACACAGCCTGCGGCCGGCGTATTCCGGCCGAATAAACGATTAATAGATGCGTCGAAGGATAAAGCCAATAGTGGACTGGACATGTAGATAACTTAGCTAACAGAGTTGTCGGCTGAGTTTGGTTGCTTGCGGCATGGTAGCAGTCTAGTACATCAGTTGTTTTACCAGTACTTGCTGTTTGGTCCAATTGAGCATTATCGTTGATTGTCAGGACTGTGGTGACCCCGATTGGGCCTATAAATACATACGCCACAGGCACAACTGCATATGCACCCAAACACTCCACCCTGAAATTGCCAACATTGCCGTTGATGGAAACCCAGATCTCGCCGATGGTGCTGCTGGGGCGGAACTCGACCCCGTAAAAGTTCCAGAAGGGGTATCAGTACAGGACACCATTGGACCCCACGTCACAGTTGACTGGATATGATTGACCGAAAGTTGTTGTAGTTTCGTAAGTGCTTGAGGCTTCAAATCCCATCGACGCGGATAAAATCACCAAAAAGCTGACACCCACCTCAGCGGACACGCCGACTTCCAGGCCAAAGGACTCGATCTCGGAAATCTCAATTTCGGTACCTGAGGGGCCAGGTGTGTCGACCATGAATCGATGGCCTGACCTCTCAATATTGGTAGCTTGGCCGATCAGAATATACGAGTCATCCTGCTACGCTGTCAACCTTGAGCACGGCGCGTTGCGATAAAAATGACTCACTCCATCCTCCTGTCTTTTCTTAGGATGGGTAAAGCTTTTCTTCAGAGCCTCGATTTCCGCTTCATACTGGGGGAGAGGGACGTTTCGGGGCTGTAATTTGTCGTTACCGATCGACATGATCGTTGGGTTCTGTGGAATGTAGTCCGGATTGAGCGTGACACCAACGTAGCCATTTTCCCAGCTGTGGCGGCCACCAACGCCGTGTCTCTCACCACACTGTCTTTCAACAACACGAACGTATTCCGCCATAATCGAACTCAAAAGGTAGCCCCGATCTGCTATCCAGCAAACGGCTACGAGACAATTTAGATGGTTATTAGCGTGTGTGAAAACATGGCACGTGTTGGCCCCTACAGGCGAGCCGACAAAGTCTTCGTAATCATCCCAGCCAAGAATCTCGCTTAGCTGTTGCCTGCTTTGAGGTTAATACATATTAAGGTAATAGATGCATCCAATGCATTTCACTTACAATGGTCCCAGTTTGGAGCCTGCAACCCATCGCATTTGTAGCTTTGAGTAGCAACATTGCCAAGCAGCGACACGATGCCAGCAAGTAAAGATAATCTCATGTTTGGTATAATGGTTGTGGAGCTCAAAGAAGACTTATAAATCGATAATACGAAGTGGTAGTACTGATGCAAATTGTGTACTGATGATAATCATGGGGTAAAAGGGAGGAGATCGAAGGCTGATTTTATATGTTTCCGCAACCCGTCTTCAGCTCTTCAATGGCGTTCAGTCAGTGCAAGGCTCGACAGTTGAGGAAAGGCATGAGGCATCTCCAACGTGAGATCAACCATAGTTTGCCGCTTGCACAGGCAATATCAAACCAGTTGCTTCACACGTAGAATTACTAATACTTTTGCTAACTTACATATTCTGTAAAGAAAAGATGGACGGGCCACCATTAAATACTTACAGTACATTTCAAACCATATAGTGCTCGGGTCAAGGCATGTCCCCGATTGGACTCTGGGAAACTACGTGCATGGTACAGCAACCACACAGCCATACAACATTGAGTAGCCACGGATCGGCACGTGCTTCTTCTTCAAACATGTCATAAGAATGGCTTTGAGACGGCAATGACGTTGTGGTTGGGGGATCGTGCGTGATATAAGAAGCGGGTAAAGCTTGATTCGTGACTTTACTATCATAGACACCCAAAGTTGGTTTTGTATGATATTTGTGGAGCAGCTTTTCGAGGGACCCGAGCACAGTCAGGTAAGAAAGTGACAAAGTGAGTTCGAGACCCTCATGCCTGCCCAAGCTACAGGGTACACAGACGATTCATGACAATCAGCAGTGCAGTAAGTCTGCACTCTGCTGTTTACCCTGGTCTCGAACATTCCACTTCGTTCCATTCACTGCTTCCAGAAATGCAGATTTCTGGAAGGAGTAGATGAAGGATATCGTTCTTTCCTAGGAAGAATCTGTCACAATACGTTTCAACGTCCACTCCACACGCTCCACATCCACTGATCCGTTCTTTGGGTTCTTCTCCTACTTCGGACTTCAGTCGAGTCCGCGTAGATATCGCGGCAACTCAGAAGAGATTGCCGTGACCAGAGCTCAGTCAATTATACTGAGCTCTGAAGTACACATCTCTCTCACATTCAATTCTCGTTTATCATTATCTTCACCTATTACTCCCACTTGTACGTACTCCCTTCACAGTAACCTAGTGGTATAGTTACTTTACTGACTTTCTCATTCATAGCACAAGCACAGTTCGACGGAATTCAAAGGCAATGTTGTCCGCTGGGCGTAACAACATCACGAAAATTGACGAATATTTTAAAAGCTGGCGGCGAGAATTCGACGCATCATACGAGGTAGTTAGAAAGGCTCGGCGCAATGAATATACCCGTATCGAAAACGATCTGTCAGCGACATGAAGCTCGGCTTCAACGAGGTCTCATGAACCAGCGCAATGATCAAGGCTCTGAAGCTTCCAACTTGCAATACAGTTTTTGAGACGAGAGCGGCAGCCTCATCAATAACGATATAAACATCAGATACGACCAAGCATTCGAGTAGTTCACTTACTATACTCTATCGATCTGGCATAGGAGGAGCCCTGCATTTTATTAACACATTACAGATAGAGAAAGCATCTGTCAGAGGGTTGTTTAGAGCAGAGTGAAGAGGTCTTCCACACGTGGTCCGCAGCAAATAGAACGTAGGTAGGGGGTCGGAATACATCTGAATTCTAGCCCTCCGCAGCTTGGGGGGCCCTCCACAGCCTATATATACGTTCTCTCGCGACCCTTAGCCCCTGGCCAGCCCCTTAGCTTGGCAGGCCCTTGGTGGCTCCGCAGGGGTCCTGACAGCATCCTATGAGTGCTGCATCTAGCCGCTGACTATATTATGATGCTAACAATATGCATGTAGCATGATACCTATTACGCAAGTATAGCATGTTGCCTACTGCGTGAGCATAGCATGATGGCAGCCGCGTAAGCATGACATGATGTTAACCATAGGTTTCTTATATGACCAGTGCTACATCATCGCCAGCGCCTACGAGATGTTCATTCAAATCCTCTTCTAGCTAAAAGCAATGAAGGTCAACCGAGGTCGCATCATCGAAATGCCTCTCGATATGTGTCCACTCTGTGGTGGAACAAGTCACAGCAACAATTGTTTTGGGGCTCTGGCAGTCCTCTGGGTGCTTAGGGTGCCCTCGGCTCACCACTCCTTTCAGCACCCCGTCGGCCGCAGCGCCATTGCCACGCTGCGTGATGTGTTCGAGCTCAACAATCACGCCCTCAACCCTCTTGTAGTCTTGTCCGGTGTCTACCACGAGAGCCGGGTGGCTCAGCTATGGGCCGCCCACTGTCTTGTCATGTCAGACAACATCCAGTGGATCAATGCCTGCGGTCTCAAGGTATCCGTGCCTCCTGGAAAACCCTGATCGCGCAGCTATACAATTATCGACCAGATGAACTGCCGCTGTTCAGATGCGAGCTATCAGAAGCCGATCGTCGACGGACTGACGAGTACAACTGGGCGAGCTACTGCCACCGGCTCGACATCGACGATGAGACAATACCCATCCCTGTCTGCCGCAATCTTGATCAAGTTCTCAAGGTTGGAGCTCGGTACAAGGACCGCAATCGATCCGGCTGGGATAACAATGTCCACCTGTTGCCGCAAGGCATGGAGCATTCCGGTTCAAGCTCCCTTGCAAGCTCAAGTAAATTCACCTACAACTCGACAGCGACGAGCATCGTCAAAACAAGTCAGCCAGGCAGCTCAAGGATGTTTTTAAGCGGATCTGTACGCTCTAAACCTCGTATACGACGGTTAATACGAGGGTCAAGGGTCTAGAACGAAAGATGGACATCATCACTGCGGGGCTTGTAAGCTTCTTAGCTATTATTCGGAACTTTTATTGCGAAGGTAGTCGTTGTAATCAGATAGGTGTGGATGGAAGCTCTCGTGGCGCTTTGGCGGCCATTGACAACCAACAGGAACTGACCAGAGTTATAGCACGATTAGGCCGGAATCAGGCGCAGATAATAATAGCGATGCACAAGAGCTTAACGAGTAGTGCGGGACATTTCGGAGGGACTCGGTGGGATGACTAATAGTAGTCATCGATTTGTCATCCAGGCAGGTTCAACGAGATCTTACGCGTTTTCTCACTATATGTGATTTTCGATTCCTAGGTTGACTTTTAGTAACTACAATTACAGCCTACGTCCGTTTGAGGATCACTAGTCTGAGGGGTCTCCAGATCGCCGCACGTGTAATTACAATGGCCAGTCAAGATCTCGTTCAGTATTCCGCCTCGGTTGATTACTTCTGCTTAGTCACTAGATTTACCTAGAGTTACCGAAGTAGCTCATGTTGATTAGCAGGTGAGTGCCAATGATGTAGAGTCCTCCTAAGACCTAAGGAGACGAGACCGTGCAGGCCAATGGTCGAGTTAATAAAGCATCTCAACTCTATGAAGTAACGCAGAACGACTGAATCAATCCCAAGCCCCTACACTATAGCATCTCATCCCACGTCACCGTCAAGTGTGATTCAGGAGACCTTTAATAACCTAGATGTTCCGTATCACAGCCGCACACGGTACTAAATAGCAGGAGACTGCATGCCGTTAATATCTGCCGGTATCACTGCGTATAAAACTTAAATAGCAGGTAATTAAATACGAGGGTTAATTTCTTGGAACTCTAAACTATAAAATCGCGCACATTACGAGTCTTACATCATTAGCTAGCTCAGGGGAAGGGAATAATACTATAGGTTATATATCTACTAAGTATATCGGTTTAGTCATAGTTAGAGAGAGACAGAGTACAAATTACTAATCGTTATCTAATCGTAAATAGATATATAAGCCTCCCTAGTTTCGTCTTACTCAAGCTTGATGGTAACCTTTAGTAAGGTGGCTCCTCTATTCATTACCGTTATGCCTTAACTAACTATCGTAATATGCTCTTATATGATAGTCAGGGCCACCCTCGATATAATAGACTAAGCAGCTACCCTCCAGCAGACAACGAAGCCAACGTAACCGGCGGGGACTTAGGCCCGCATTGGGACTCTCAGAATCCACTAATCTGGACCGAGAGTAATCTATGCGATCGCTTCGCTCTAACCGGTAAGGGCGCTAACCTCCAACCGCTTAGGAGTGACACCGTGACCAGAAGAAGAAATCTTCAAAGAAACCGCTTTCGTCCAGCAGCAGGGCAATCAGTATATAAAAGGACACTTGAATTCCTCTTCATCTGCCCTCTATCCATCATCAGCCTTTAACAATATACCCAACTTCCAGGATTAGGGTTCTAATTATAATCAAGATGAAGAACACTATCATCTCTTTCCTGCTGCTCGGCGGCCTGTCTCTTGCGTCTGTTCTCCCCAGCAAGGGGCAAGAAATTAGTCTGGCTCCTACTCTCAACATTCTCGAGACTCGCCAGTCGTCTTCAACCATCTGTGGTGACTCAGCTAAAATCAATCAATCAGCTGCGCAGATGCGCAAAATCGCTCGAAGGCGACGACGAGAAAGCTTCATAGTTCGCGGCCCGCCCACCATCCCAAACTGCTTCGATATCGCGGATCTCGGAGCCAAGGCTCAATGCCTTCAATGCCAGAATGTTGCCAATATCGCCTATGGGTCCGCCCTGTTCGATTGCTCGGTCACAAGCTTTGGATGTGGGGCTCTGGAACCCTTTTGCATCGCTGCCTGCATTGCCGCCGCCAGCTTTACGTTATACGGTGCAGACCAAGCCTGCTACTGCCTTCACGCCAACTGCGCAGATGATGCTGTCAAGGCAAGGCTTGGGAGACCTCAATCTCCTCTAGTTATTGGAGGCGGGAAGTATGAGGTTAGTGGCGGGTGGCGGGTTGGAGTTACACGCATCGTTGTGGCACGGCCCCCTCCTCCCGCATGCACAGTCAGTCACGGCTAAGTAGCAACGTCATTCTATTATGCCAACTGCCCACCAGTTCTGGTAGTCTTAGTCTAGACTGGAGAAGTACGGTTCATCATGTTAATGCCCCTAAAGCCTCGTCGGCTATGTACTGTCCTTAGTTTCTTTAGTATCTATATAGATCCTATGTTTGCCACTTAAATATTTACAGTCTTTACCGCTTGGAGTACCCTTCTATTCTATCCGTATTAAAATTGTTTATAGAATTAATATAATGTGCATAATAAGTGAGCTGCATACTCCTTCAAATTTTAGTAGATGTATACTCTGTACGTAAAATAACGTGAGTAGCTGATTAGTAATCTTTAATAATTACCTAACGCATTTCTGCTTACACACCCACCAAAACTCGTTAGAGTGTGCAGCTCACTTGATTAACGTGGATCTGGTCCTCCGACTTCAGAAGGGCTAGTTTGTGTATGGTTCCACTTGCCCCCTTCGCAAAGTGGTCCATGGCGTTAAGAATTGATGTTGAGGAGCTTCCCTAGTGTCTGGCAATCGACCGTTGAGAAAATCGGATTGTGAACTGGCCTCAATCGTATTATTAGGCGTTCAAGACCCAGCCCCCCAGTAGGGTTGGAGTCCGTAACCTCACGAAGCACCTTGGCCGTGGTTGAGCCACCTGTTTTGCGTTTTAGAAAAGGTAGACAGGTCAGCATGGCCCACCGCCAGTGGGTTTTTCATTGGACGGCGTAATCCGGGGCCCCGTCAGTTGAAGACAATGCCGATGGGAATTTTCTTTTTAGGCTGAGTCTATCTCAACCAATAACGAACCAATTCCTTATAACAAAACGGCGGATCACATTGATTGATCCACAGGCTGTTGAGAATATCAGCCGTGGTTGTGGTTGGCCTCGAATCTGATTGCCGCGGACAGTAAGCCGAGAATCAAGGGCCTTGGCTGGCTTCTGCAATGCAATTTAGGCTGATGATCTCACCAAGAACCGATCCCGTGCCTTGTCAGTTTATCCATTGTCCCCTCTTCATGCCCGCTACCCGTGAGCAGCGTGCCTCGCCAGTTTAACCCTGATCAGCAGAGCCTAAGGGCTGTTTGGAACTTCACATCAACCAGGTCGGATACCAAGCTGGACTACCATCAAGGCCTAGCATAGGAGCACTGCTTGGACGCTTTATTCTGGAATAGCAAGTCGCCGATTGGAGTACTTTCCGAGGTACTCTTGTATGGGATTGTTAGGGAAGTAGTCAGTTTATTCTAGTGTTGGTAGTCTGTACATTCTGTGGGCAACTTTGCGCAGCTTGTAGGACAGACCTATGCTTCATGGCCTAGTCTTTCTTGGCTTTCTGTTTCTTAGGGACCCTCGCAAGCCAGTAGAAGAGGAAAGCCAGAGAGGTGTTGAACATGCAGAACGCCCACATGATCCCAAAGTCTCTCCACCGATTGGCGAAATTCACACTGATGGACGACAGATATTCGTTTGTGTTGGACATGGAGCAGTAGGAGCAGTCGGAAGACTGTGGATTGTCCAGGTATCCACCATTCTGAGTCAAGTACTCAGAAGCATACTCGGCACACGTGGAGCCGTTCGGGGCACTAAAGGTAACAAACTCATTGGGGGCACAGTGCATTGGAGCATCCCCAAGGCCCGTTGCCATGAAGCCCGCAACAACATATGTGAAGGGGTTGACGCGGTACATGAAGATCCAGAACCCCGGAAGAGTGTCGGGGCCTGCGAGAACACTGGATGGGAGGAGAAAAGTTAGCTTTTGGCTGCGTATCCTTGAGAAAAACTTGCCCGCAAAAGGTGAACATCATGATGAGCAATAATGTAGCAAGACCTCCGGCATGGTCTGCCGTGGGAAGTCCAGCAATCATCATGTGTGCAAATGTGCTCGTATATGCAAAGAACATCCACAAATGCAGAAACATGAGAAAGCTGCGGGTGTGGACTGTATCAGTCCATTCCGCATTGCTGGAAAGGTTCATAGGGTAGTAAAAGAAGATAAAAGCAAAGATAGACATGAACTAGCCGTAGTTAGCCTCGTTTCAGCTCATTATTTGGAGCCATGCTCACAGAGTTCCAGGCAAATTCAACTAGGATATTAGCCGCGACAAAGGACTGCCATCCATACGACTTGGAAGGGCGCTCCCGGGACTCGTACATGACGCGCTGAGCGGCGAACACCGGCATGATCTGGTTCACTAGGTTGGGGAACATGCTGAAGAACATGAAGATGCCAAACATTTGGTTTGACATGCCGGTCTGTGTGTTCTGAGAATCTATAAATGACAGTCCGACAAAAAGAGACTACTCGTGTTAGTTTGAACATGTATTCAGGCCCAGGCATGTTTACGTACCCCGCCAAGGCAGAGCAAGGCTTTGGCGTAGATGTAACCGGGGCTTCGCCAATACTGCTCAAATATTCGCTTCGTGACTTCTTTGAATTGCTCCAGGAAAGACACAGAGAACTGCTCGCGCACCGACTCAACTTGGTTGGCTTGATGAGTGGTCGCTGATCTACTAAGCCGTGCCAGTTCGTCTTGAACACGTTGGTATTCCGGGCTACTTTTCCAGACCGCAGGCCAGTCGATGTCTGTTTTCGCGCCCGGGGCTGCTCCAATGACCTCGAGCATGTACTCTGCCGGGTTGGACTTTGCGGGAAGAGCATGGGCCCCATTGCGGGTGAAGTAGTCGACAAGAGTGCGGGAGCCCTTTCCAATGTCGCCAAAGTATATCGTCTTTCCTTTGGAAAGGAGCAGGAGTCGGTCAAACCTCTGGAACAGCATCGCGGAGGGTTGGTGAATTGTGCAGAGGATGGCTTGGCCGTGCTGGGTCAGTTTCTCCATGAGGTTGCAAATCGACCAGGAGGTTTGACTGTCCAGGCCCGAAGTAGGCTCATCGAAAAAGAGAAGAAGTTGGGGACGTGCCGCAAGCTCTACGCCAATTGTTAACCGCTTACGCTGCTCCACGTTAAGGCCCTCGCCAGGAACCCCAATGATGGCATCGGCATAGTCCTCCATGCCTAGCAGACCAATCACGGTATCAACATAGTCTATCTTCTCCTGGCGTGTGTACTGGGAAGGCTGCCGGAGTAGAGCGCTGAACCTGAGAGCTTCACGGACAGTTGAAGTGGGCAGATGGAGATCCTGTTGCTGGACGTAACCTGTCTTTCGTTGGAAGGATTCGTCTCGAGGGCTCCCATTGACGAGCATGTCACCCGTGACGACGCCCATTGTGACACGGCTGGCCAGAACGTCCAGCAGGGTAGTCTTCCCAGCACCAGATGAGCCCTAGGTAGGATTGATCAGCGACCACCGCGAACGTCTCTACACGGGATACATACCATGAGCGCCGTCAGAGTACCTGGTTTGACCCAGCCGTCTACGTGATCCAAGATTTGACGAGTCTCGCCTTTGATTTTGATTTCGTAGCTTACACCACCCCAATGGAAGACAGAAGTCTGTTTATCCACGGCCGCTGCTGGGCTACTGCCTCCGATGTGCTGCAGAGCGGTCGTCGTCGGAGAAGCTGTTTCAAGATCTTTTGGCGTCTTCTTCAGGTGTTTCATTGCCTTGCGAAGAAATACTAGTACCTCGCCTTTGGAGCGTTGAGAGGCAACATACTCAGTGGCCACGAGATGGAGTGCAAAGTAGAGCACTCCAAAGGCACACACGACACCCCAGTTGCGCCATTTGTGGGACATGTCGTAATCGTAGGCGGTACTCAGGTAAACGGCCCCGTCAACAAAGTCTTGTCCAGCAACGGCACCTTGCGCTGAACAGGCTCTGGCGGTTCCGGAGACGCTGTCGTACCCTGCTCCGGACGGGACAAAGGTGTCGCATGGGAAAGGTCTTCCATTGAACTCATTAATCATTATCGACTCCAGGGCATAAAAGATGGGATTGCCCCAGCGAGACCATTTGATCCAGTCCTTCATGTAGTCGACAGGTATGGCGAAGCCGGTATATAAAACCAAGCTTAGCAAAATGATTGCAGATGGAGCCATTGCTTGAGCGATTGACTTGGTGACCGACGCTATGAGCCGGAAAAGCATTGACATGGTCATGACGATGCTGAAGCCAATAAGGAGGAAGAAGAAAAAGTTGCCCGGCTCGCGACGCAAGTTCGCCATGAAATAGACTGCTACGTTGGTAAGCACCGCATTCAGGAATTTATACGGAAGGTCGACCACCATGGAAGAGAGTGCTTCCGCGCTTGGGTGGTAGAGTGCATAGCGAGCGTGCTTCTCGACGACCTTCCGCTTGGCGTAGAGCGAAACGATCTCCAAGACGCTGCTGTAAGCATTGGTGAGGATAACAAAAAATAAGAGAATGGCGCGCCTCCTTAATGAGTCCGAACCCCCTGGCAAGTTGTAGAAGACGCTACTGACAACGATGGCTTGTAGAAGATTAATTCCGAGCATTGAAAGCGTCAGGCTCGGGTCGGTTTTGAGCATGAGGAAGCTTCGCGCCAGGGTTAAGTTTGTCTGCTGCAGATATGATAACGTGAAGGGAGACTTGGCGCGCTGAGTCGAGGCTTGATCTACTCTGCGGGATTCGAGGAACTTGTTATAGTGATCTCCATGGAATGGGTGTCGTTCAAGATAGTTGTCAACGCCCTCCAGCAGTTCCGCGCGATCACGGCTCTCTTTCCACACCCTGGAAAATTCGTCGGGCGTGCGAGGAGTCTTATTCTCCCACCCTGGGCGAATCACGCGCTCGCCAGAGCTGGTCATGGAAGTCAAAAAGTCTGCAGTTGTTTGCTGGTCGGGACAGATGAAGCCGAGTTCCTCGAAATATGCCTGGGCCCTGGAAGTCTTGCCAAAGAAGATCTGACGCCCCTCATAGAGGACGAGCACCTTATCAAAGAGCTGTCTCGGGTTAGCTCAAAGTCCTTGAGTAAGGCATTCTGACTCACATCGTAGGCAGCCTGGGGTGCTTGGTAGATGGCGACGCATGAGGTACAGCCCATAACGTCGGCCTGAGTACGCAATGTTTTGCAGAACTCAATAGCGTTTGCGCTATCGAGGCCGCGAGTACTATTATCCCAGCACTGCAATGGCGCGTAGCTCAGCGAGGCCTCCGCAATAGTGACTCGCTTCCTTTCGCCACCGCTTACACCCCGAACAAAGTCATCACCGACTCGTGTGTTCTTAGTGTGTGAGATGCCGAACATGGCCATGGTAACGTCTCGAAGATGTTCGATATACTCGTGTCGACTAATCCCAGCAGGAATATTCTTGGGGCACCGTGCAGCCGCCGCAAAGTAGAGGGTATCGCCGACTGTAAGCTGGGGAAAGTGGTGGTCCACCTCTGCCGTGTAAATGGCTTCTCCTCTAAAAGCAGTCCTGATCTCGTCGGGGTGTATACCAGAGTAGTTGAGTGTCGACGTGTCCTGGATGTGGAATCCATGTGTTTCGCCTGCCACGGTCTTCAAGAACGTTGAGCACCCGGACCCGGGGGGTCCTAGCACGCAAAGCATCTCACCACTGTGGACGACACCTTCAAGGTCGCGCAAGATGTCGATGCGCTGTTGCTTTCTGTTGAGCAGCTTGCTAGCTAGATTGACTCCGTCCAGAAAGATATTTCCAACGCTCTTTTGAAAGTCGGTATCAGTTCCGAAGCCATAGACGTTGAGGTCGCGAAAGGCAATGCCCGTCGTCTTGGGTACATTCCCTTGTAGGGACTCCTTCCTGGCACTGAAGAAGGCCTTTGCCCATTGCTTCGCGTTGAACTTCTCGCTGTTGGGATCCAACGCACTGTCTTGGGGAAGGGGGAAAAGCGCCGCTGGAGGGCCCGAGACGTGTGATTGGGTCGTCAATCGTCTAGCGAGTTGAATCATATCGTGACGTATCCGTTCATCTGCGCCGTCGGGATTGTCTGTCGAATCACCCGTGTCGGCGAGAGTATTCAACGAGCCACGAGACGATATCCCATAGTCCATTGATGGACCTGGCTTTTCGACCTCCAAGCTGGCTCTTGGAGACGGCATCGGATCGAATTCTTGGCGGGAAGGAATGTGATGTAGTTTGATGACTGGTTTGGAACATGGGAGAAAGGAAGAACAGCAAGCTTCTTAGGGTGATGAAATACAGCTGGAACAGCAGGGTTTTTGACAATGCTGGCCGGCGGTAACAGTTGAACATTATGGTTCAGCATGACGGCCGTGGAGCATGCCCTTCCTCCGGACGACGCGAGGTCCGTCAGTGCGGAGCGGTTAATTGTGGGACGGACATTCGGCGCCTTGCGGCCCTGACGCCCGGATGCGAGATACGACAGTGTCTCGGATTACTGGGGCCAGGCCTCGGTGATTTCTTTGCCTTCAGCACTAGAGCGGGAGCCCGTGCCGGGATTCACGTGAAGTGCCTGGTCCCTGTCGGACTTGCGGACATTTTGCTTACCAGGCAGGATCCAGAGGGTCGGACTTATCTCAAATCACGAATCGCGTGGAGCGGACCTACCAGGCAGCAAAAAATTAAATTCCGCAGGAAAACTTTATTAGCAATACGAGCCCATATCGCCATCGCCGTGGCGCAATAAAATCCGGCGCGGCGTAGCGTGGCTCGCTGTGCCTCAAGATAACCAACATGGAAATGGGAGGGACGCCCTTGAGGCAAATTACAATGACAGAGGAATGCCATCAGGTAATTGCTGCTGGCAGTGCTGCTGCAACAGCACAATCGAACTTACATGGACTCCAATACTTCACCGGGACGGGCTTTGAATGGATTAGCGGTGAGTTTGATTGCGAATGGTTTTGCTGTCAATCCCCATCATCTGCTCTCACGATGGTGTCCTAACACGAAGGTTGCCTTCAGTGTCTTGCCTGCAAGTCCCGAAAGGTAAATACTACCCTACGCTTGACATTTGGCTCTGAGCAGTAAAAACTGGCGCAAGTTTGCTTCATGGAATCTGTTCACATCAATCCAGACCAGATGCGACCGTTCGAATCCCACCTGCGATGGCTGCTTTGCGCGGCGTCAACCGTGTATCTATCCTAAGCGCAAGGCAAGAAAAAAGGCCAATTCGGCTGCCAGGCGATCAAATCCGCAGTATGTCTCGGCCTGTGCGAGCTCGCAAGCCTGTCTCTTTTCCGTCGATCGTTGATGTTGACGTGCCATCGGACGCCAGCGACGGAGTTCTCTCAAATCTCTTCGACCGACTTCTCCAGGTCGAAGAGAAGTGCTCGAAACTTGTCGGCAGCAGTCCCCAGGTCAAGGTGTCGCCGCTGGTAGCTGACAGCGACTCGGAGACAAGTCCATTCTCGCTTCTTGGGGCGTCACCACCCGCAAAGGTTACAGACGATGCTCTCGCAGAGGTGGCAGGGCATAGCGTGGGAAGCAGCCTTGAGAACTCATGTTCCGCCGATACGCTTCTCGCGGAGGCTCTTGCTCAGGTGGTATATTTGAAACACCAGGGAGCCAACATTCAATCCGCATCCAACGAGACTCATGTTCCACCAGACATTGCCAAGACGTGTCTCAACAGTAAGATGCCGCCATGCATATTCGTTTCTGAAAACTTCGCTCAACCATGAACAGACTTCTGCAAGCATTACATGGCCGACATCTTTCAAGATTCGATCAACATCAAGCTCATGTATCTGATGCCGCACATGATCAACATGCCAGAAGTTAATATAGACCCGGCCGCGCTCAGCCTTTATCACGGCATGCTTTACCATGGGTCTCTAAGCGTGACCACGAGAGCGACCTTGCAGATTGAAAACGTCACTCGTGTCACGTACTTCCATTTTGTCCGTGCCATGGCAGCCTGGCAGAAGAAGTTCACGGGGACGAGGACTGACCTTGTCGTCGCCATTCTATATGTACGTGTTCCGCCCTTTCCCTACGCCGTTTACAGAGCTTTGCCCAATCGAGGCTGACTACCAAGGGTAGATGCGAGCTGCATTTCAGCAATATGATGTGGAGCTCAGCCGGAACATGTTCAGCCTGATTTGCGAATGTGTAAAGACTCTTGGTATTCATCACATTGATCGGATTTCTCTCGGCTGCTCCATGCATATCAAGTGTTCAACCACCCAGGCGAATCGAGAGGAAAAAGCCTTTTGGGCTCTGGCATCTATCGACCTTTTCTTCCGCATATTGCACGAAAAACCTGCCTCGATCACAGCCAACATGACTGGATGCCAGGCTAGCCTTCCGTTGGTCGACTTTGCCTCCGAGAACCCCGAGCAGGCCATTTCTGGCCTGGACTCCCTTGTTGCTTCTCGGTTGACGCACCTTCTTCTTCGGTTCTTCGACATACAGAGCCTAATGAGCAGGGAGCTCAACAAAGACATAATCGATCGCATAAAGAGGCTTTCTCAAGATATCGGAAGTTTGTTCCGGAAGTGGCCAGTGGTACGTATGCATTTGAATCTTATCTTCGGTGCTCACCTTTTGAACTTCTACACATGCGTTTTCGTCTTGCTGATGCGACCGCTGTGAGTAGATAGACTCAATGACTGCGTCTGAAGATAAGCCCGAACACTGGTGGATGCTCTTCGACCTGACGCTGATGGCGTATTGCTCAATGATAATCATGTGTCGGGAATTATCGCGCATGTCCCTCTACCTGCCCGCCGCTCCCCCGGCGGGGGGAGCCATCGATCAGCTAATGCTCGACATCGCGCGCCGCATGCTGAGCTTGTCCCATGCTGCTCTCATCAGCTACCCAGTCTCAACGGTGGTCTGCTACTTGTTTGGTGCATTTCGCTGTGACGTGGCATACGGCTGCATGGTAGAGCACTTGCTCACTGGCGACCCCAATGAGCCGGGTCAAACAGCTGGGCCTGACATCACTATCTTGTGGCAGGTGGCGCAAAACATTACCTCGATCGCAGAGAGAGACCAAGAAATAATGCCACTCGCGAGCACTCTCTACGACATGAACCAGTCCATCCGCGCAAAGTGGGTAGACGCGCGGGTTGGTTCGTCTCTGATTTGTCAATGAAGGAGCATAGTCTCGAGAAATAACACAACAGCTTTCAAGCGCGAGAATGATGCAGCTTGCTATGCCATACATTATCTTCAAAGCGCCGATTTCGCAAATCAGCAGAGATATACCGCGTGATTTATGGACACTACCGATTGAATATTGTGTGGCACTTGACTAATGTAAGAAAAGCTTCGGCGTTGAAAGCTTTCATTGTGCGTTTTAGCAATAGTAAGATGAAATTGGCGTAACTTTCTTTTCATAGCAGGTGTGGCGATACGCGGAAATGCAGGGCTCTAATGACCGCCTCTAACGAGGAGCAACCCCTTAAGCTAGTGCTAAGGTCCTTCATTGCCTTAGCCTAGGCCCTAGTTAGCCGAGGGCGTTAGGTAAGAAAGGGTCCTAGCTATAACGTTAATAAACTAACTAAATTCTTACCTAGACTCTTAAACGTAGTAGAGTACCTTAATATATCCGGAGCGACTTATATAGGTACTAGGGTTACCTTAGATATATACTATATTATAAGCTCGCCGCCCTAATTCTAGTAGTATAGAGTTGAGACTTATACTAAATAACTATCCGGAGACAGGGTTAGGGTTAGGGTTAGGGTTAGGGTTAGGGTTAGGGTTAGGGTTAGGGTTA